GGACTGTGTCAAGAAGCCCCATGAAATTGGGCCCTGACCCCACCCAGCCTGTTACACCCTGCACTCCCCAGCACTCTATGGTTTTATGGACCTAACAGCGACCCACAATAAGTCTATATCATATGGGGATGGGTTGAAACGTGGATGTTTCGCTCAATTGGGGAAGAAATTATTATTACAGTGTGACTGAAAACCCTTAGGTGACCTTTTCTTGTTTTTTATCATTTTTCCCTGTGTTTAGATTTCAGAAGGCCTCGTTGCCAGGTGAATGTACTGCCATGGCAGCCTACATGAACGTTGAGGCTGGCTAGCGTCATGGTGCGAGTGGACTGACCGATGAAATCTCCAAAGTGAAGAGGCAGGTTGCATCATAGGTATCACAGGTAAGAGTCCTGTGTTTCATATCATTGCTGGCTTTCTGTAAGGATGAATCTGGGAAAGGGGGGAGGGGCCAATTGGGGTCATGACCAAAAAAGGAGCAAAAATTGTTTTCATTTGAAAAAATGAAAGGATCTTTTTGGTCTTTTTAATTTCCCTTCTTTTGAAAAGTGGAAATGTAGCCTAACCCCTCAAACAACTTAAAAATTTTTTAAAAATTTGGCCCCCAGAATCAAGTTTGTCCCCGTTCCCCCCCAAAAAATTGGGTCCTGGATCCACCCTTCGGTGCTTGTGGCTAGCTTTTAGGACAGCCCCTTACCTAGGAATGGTTGTGTGCATTGTGTCAATCAAGCAAGACGATAGGGATGAGGTTAAACCCTTGTATCCAGGGCAAGGTAGTTGAATGCACCCACTGTACCGAAATTGTTCAAATTTTCCTGGCCTAATGTTCCATTTCCTTCATGGTTCGTTGCTGTTTTATGACAAATTACCATTGATCAACGGTCCACATTTCCTGAGACATGTTCAACATCTTCAAGGAGCAATTTGGGTGTCATAGTTTTAACCACTTCCTGCTGGGGACTCCGAAATCGCAGCCGTATGGTTTATGTGTTGCTGGGGTCTCCGAACTTGGATGAAGGAAACAGCCCTGTAACAAAAGACCTTACTCCGAACAAAAG